AAGCAAAAAAAAAAAAACATTTTAATTTGCCATCACTGGAACACTATTAGGACTATTGATTTTTTTTTACTTAAATGTCAATAAATATACGAGGATTGTGCACCATTTAGAATGATGGATGTATGGATGTATGGATGGATGGAACAATAGTCTAAATCTGACCCCATTTACACCTGGTATTAAAATGCGATCTGTATCCAGATAAGTTATCCGGATAATAAAAAACGCATGTTAATGCAAGGTGTAAATGCGTTGTGATCGGATCGCGATCGGATCTGCCTGACCACATCTGGAGGTAGTCTGGCTCGCATTGTGTCCGGATCTTAGGTGTAAACGCAATCTGGTTGTTGAAACCACATATGTATATTTTACTCCTCCCAAAAAGGCAAAAAATAAACGAGTAAGCTTGTTCTATAGGCAATATGTCATGTTATAGTCAGATATGACGGCGCTACTGCGACACGGATCACCCATCACCGCAGATGAGTAGCTGAGCGTCTATTCATCGAGCCAACGTGCAAACATCGCAAATAAAAGTGAAAGTAAGTCACAGACGCTTAACACACAATCATCTTCAAGTAAAGAAACGAAATTATCTTACCAGCGCTGTTGCCACTCTTTTATTGATGTCTTTGATTTGGAAATTAGCTGATGATCAACGAAATGCAGCTCAAATCTGTTGCTTTTGGTGGCGTGCAATCCATTAAGTCTTCTTCTTCTTCTTCTTCTGTGATTTTTATTGGCAGTTTGCAAGCTATGTGCATTACCGCCATCTACTGGAATGGGTGTGATCACATTGGGAGAGAAAATTTAATAAATAAATAACAGAGAGTTAGAGCCCAAGCTTCAGCTGGCGCTACGTGTTTAGCTCCTCCAGCTTCAACCTCGACTCAACCTCCATAGAAAATAAAATAAAACTAAAATAAACACTAAGACTAAATTCTTTTTGCTAACTGTGTTCTTTTAAGAAATTCTATCACTGCTTTTATTGTAGACTGTATCCCTGGTATTTTCAACAAGTTGCTTAAATTAACAGATTTTGTTATCCATTAAGTCTGCATACGCGGGAGTTTAAAGTCCCCGTGAACCGGAAGTTGCAAACGATTGTTCTCCAGTGCTGTGACGTATTTCCAAGTGAAACGGAATATTGAACAGAGGGCAGGGTTTTACTCTAGCGCTCCTCCATCTGTCGCTCATAGCAAACTAACGGTTTGAGGGGAGTGGTTAAGCGTTTCCCCACCCAAACTGCGAAACCTACGTCATCAGAAAAAGAAACCGTTCCAGACCGGAAGTAACTTTTCAGATTTTGATTAAAAATTACTAAGGTAAAACATTTTTTTAATATATATTCACTTGCACGGATTAATTGTTCACCACAAGATTAGTAATATGCGCTAACAAAGTAAATAGGTTCAATTTTGATTTCACGGGGACTTTAAGATCGGATTTATATCCGTTTTGCAAAAACACATTTATGTGGCCAGGTGTAAATGGAATCGGTACTTATTATCCGGATAACTTATCTGGATACAGATCGCATTTTAATACCAGGTGTAAATGGGGTCTCTGAGTTAGTGAGCACAGAGATAATCCATCCCCCTCACAGGTGGCATATCAAGATACTAATTAAACAGCATTATTGTTGCACAGGTGTGCCTTAGGCTGGCCATAATAGGTAGGCAGACATAGAATGATAGACTGACAGACAGACATGTAAGACTTCATCCAGTAATATTCCTGCTTTCAGTATCCTGCTGACAGTCAGACAGGGACAATATTAGTGGTGCATTATTCCATGTCAAAGATTTGTTCAAGAGTCTACAGAAAGACGCCTTTAGTAAAAACAGACAAGCACATTCCTGCCCTGCTCCAAAGCATACAGAGAAATGAGACAGCAAGAAAGAGGGAGAAGGAGGTCAAGGACAGACAGAAAGCTAATTATGTTATTTTAAAGTGTCGTTAAAGGACTTAAAATGTTTAAAACATTATTTTCATTTTTTTTTTTTCTTAAAAGAACAAAGTCTCAGATCCGGTCATATACATGTCAAATCAATTTCATACACAATGGTAATTCAGTGTTTTATATAGAAGGAATTAAAATAATAAAAAATAAAATAAAAAAACGACAAAATATATTAAAACAGTTTAGAATTAAAAGGAAATAAAATACAGTGCAAAAAGTTGGACATACAGTGGCACAGTGCTCATTGAGTAAATGCACAGCTAAACAGATGTTTTGAGTCTGGATTTGAAAGTGACTACTGTAGGAGCACACCTGATCTCCTCTGGAAGCTGGTTCCAGCTGCAGCTGGCATAGTAGCTAAAAACAGACTCTCCTTTCGGGCTTTGAGTGAACCCATGGTATTTCTAGCAGATGTGATCCTAATGATGATTTATTCGGTGAGCACATATGCAATATATGAGGTCCTAGGCCATTGAGTGATTTATAGACCAGTAATAATACTTTAAAATTATCACTAAATGTAGAATTGGGACTGGGAGCCAGTGTAAAGACCTGAGGACTGGTGAGATGTGTTCATAATTTCTGGTCCTGCTCAGAGGACACAGTACATATCACTTTATAGTCTTTTAGTATCCCTTTCCTTCCCATCTAATCATCTCTTCAATGTTTTGATCCCTGTTTCTCTTCCTTTGCCAATCTGTCTGCCAGGCGGTCCTAGACAATGCCCATTTCACACAGGAATCCTTCATCCCACCTTACCAAACTACTGACCACATAACGATGTTGATTTCCTTTATCACAGCATGTGCAGCCAAACAGACTGGAAATAAAATGTGCATGACCAGTAGGTGAATACAGAGTGGGTGTGAAAATATTTAAAAAGAGGATGAAGGCAGTGAAAAAGAGTCTCGTAAATACCTTTCAGAGCAGACATTAGTTACATTCATCCTCTGAAGACACAGACCACGGCCTCCTCTGAGGGTGGCTGCATGTGCCAGCGATGATATAGTGTCATGTTTCTGACCAGTTTCATGGTTAAAGATTTCTGTAGTTTTTACTGTGGATCCAGTCAAAACCAAAGAAATCTTTACTACTCTGTTTATACACATATTCAACTGTGTTGAGTCTACATGTCTCCTAAGACTCAAAATTGTGCCAAGTTTACAGAAACAGGTGTATGCTAGATTAACCCAGAGAATGCAAGAGAAATAAAAGTTGTTTTCCATATGAACTTGCAAAATGGCTCTTCAAATAGCAATCAAATGCTGGTACTTCTTTCTCACGTGTGTTAAAACACGCTTTTTACAAGCTTTTCTCTGCATCTGTGTGCACATGCAGCAAGACGGCGATTCTGCCCACAAAAACAAGGGGGCAGAGGCTCAGACGAATATCCTCAATGCCCGGCTACTCTATCCCGGCCTGGGCTGCGGGATGACTTCATGCCTGGCACTGATGTCTGTTTGTATTGCAAACATGGAAATGGAAGTTGTGCAGACAGCGATGTGCAGACGACACTGTAGAATGAGATTCACACATAGGTTGTAGACACTGATGCTTTTAAGCAAGGCAAGTTTGAAAGAAAAATATGTACATGATTTTCACACTTATCAATGCACAAAGAACGTATAGGATCATCTACTACCAATAGGCTTAAATATTAAATGATTATTCTGATAGATCACAAAGCTGCCATGTTTTATTTTAGTCAGTGCCTGCATCCAAAGCCCCATTTGTATGCATGGAACATTTCTAAAGTTTACATGCTCTTGTTCAAACAACATGTCTTTGAGTTGAAGGGTTAACATTAGCAAATGTTAAGATCCTATTCTTGGTTTATGGTGGGCAAATGCACACAAACCCATTGAAATGTACTCAGAACACAATTTCAAATAGCCCTAAATTAACAAAAGAAGTGCAAGAGTACATCCAACCTTGAGGAAAAAAAGTACCTTCACAAACAGTGAAGGTGAGTTTATTCAAGTGGGAGAAATTATCAATTGAAAATGAATTATATGCTATGATGAACAAGACTTTAGAACAACAGAAGGGGCTTTTCCTTTTTGAAGTAGAAGCAAGCTTATAAAAAAAATGAACTTCTATTATTCAGATGGCAAGAGGATTTAAATCAGGGACCACTGAATAAAAAAGAAACAATCAAAACCAGTAATCCAGCTTTAAGCGTTAAAAAAAAAAAAAAAAAAAAATCAGTCACATGACTATACAGTCATGCAATTTCCAATAGAAAAAAAATAAATATATATATATATATATATATTTAATGTATGATAATATATTATATTGCATTGTTAATAATTCTAATAATATACAATAGGTCAATACATCTATCAATAGGACTACAATATTTTTAAGATGATTCTCATTGTTGAAATACAGCTGCCAGCAATGCAAGACTTACAGCGCCACCTTGTGACATGCAAGTTTATCACATAGCTAATGCATCGCGCGGTTATCACCGGTGAACGGTTATTCGCAGATTTTGCTCATATCAAACTTATTCAAGTCTATTTATATTTTCAAGTAAAGCAGTCATGACATAGAAGTGGGACTCGTAAATTCACGCTGTGTGGTCTCTGAGGCGTCAGACCTGGAACCAAACGGTTTGTCAAAAGAGAAGTGTAAGCTAGTAGGATACTGAACATGTAAAAACAAAAAGAGAAAAACGTAAAGCGTGAGGTGACATAAGGTCACTTACGTTACTGAGTCACGTACACGAAGAAAGTAACCCAACTCCTCTGGCTGTCAACTGAACTGCTACAATTCCTTACTTCTTTGACTAGCCTACTTGTACTTGTCTTATCTACATATTCATACATCCAAACCTATACCTGCGAGCTGACATAGTCCTACACATACAATGAAAGACAAGTTTGTCTTTTCTTCTGTAGCCTCTCAATATCACAGCTCCCTCTATCTCTCCTCTCCATTACAGATCTGCCCATGCACTTGACCAAATATAAACTTCATGATTCTTGGCAGACAGACAGATTTCAGCAGGGAGGAGTCTCGTGCTTTTAGGCCAGGACAGACCAAAGGACAAACAGACAGAGGTGTAGAAAGAGAAAGTGGCAAACAAGTGAGGAACAAAGAACAAAAACACCTGAGCACCCTCTTGGAAAGACAAGAATGTAAGTGTTGTTTGCGTTAGATGTATCGTTTTAGCTGTTTTGTACTGTTGGTGTTAAATATGAACAGTATTGTATGAGCATTTCATTCTTTTAACAGCAACACATGACCCACAACTGAGAGCATGTTTGTCCTTGTGCACGGGACATAATCAAATCTAAATGTAGGACAGTCTTTTTTTTTATTTAATGCTACATGTGCAAAGTTTTAAGGGGAGTTAAGATATCAAATAGCATTCAGTGATGAAAGACAGGAAAAACAGCCAAGGTTTTAGGGACGAGATAAGCAACAGGCCGCAGCTTGGCTAATATGAAACCCATCTAAAAGTATTTATTTATTTATTCATTAATTTTAGACAGCATTAGAACATTTATGTAACATTCTCATCTAAAGAGACCATACAAAGTTTCCATGAATTTAATGGATATTCATGTCAGGTTTGGTCATTATTTGACCTTAGACTTTTTCATAGCCTTCGCTTTCAAATACTGTTAAAAACCAGTTGGTTTTTTCAAATACTGTTCAAATTTTTTTGACAAAGGCTCTATAAAGATTTATGTTAACAAATATCACTGAGACTCATACAGTGCCATTTTCACACTGTATGATTTTGGCAACGAGTATTGACATTTCATGGTTTTGTGAACAAGTACAAAGTTGTTGCATTTAACTTTTGCCCTACTTCTTTTGCATAAAATATTGTGAATGTTTTATACTATATATAAAAAGTTAAGAAATGAATACTTCTATTCAGCAAGGATGAATTAAATTGACTTACCCCAAGTGACAGTACATTCAAAGACAACATTTGTTCATGTTACAAAAGATTTCAGTTTCAAATAAGTGCTATTTATCAAAGAATCTTGAAAAATGAATCTTGAGAAATTTTTTTGAGCAGCACTGTTTTCAACATTGTTAATAATAAATAAATGTATGCCACAATGCATATGCATATGAAAATTAGTGTGATCACCAACATTAAACAAACATTTAAAGTGAAGTGCCTAATGTTATAAAATGAGATGTTGACCCAGGACGAGTTATGGGACTGTGCAAGCATTAGTGTTGATAGATTTGATCTACTCCATCTAAGTTTTTAATAGAAGAAGATTAAGTTTAATCATTGTTCTGAATCCAAACTGGATGTAGTCTATTACAAAAACACTGGCGGGGAAATAGTTCCTACAGCCTAACTAGAAAACATGCATTTTAAAGAGTAACAATATTTCAAAACATTACTGTTTTTAATCAAATAAATGCAGTTTTGATAAAAATAAGGCATACTCTATAATATATATATATATATATATATATATATATATTTGCCAATATTATATATTATATGATATCTTCTCTGCAAGTATAAAAAAAGAAGTCTTGCTTGATGTCTTTGCTTCAGAAATGGCGATGTCACCCACTGCTACGGTGGCCCGTCGGGCTCTCGCGGCTGCGTCACAAGGGAGCCACGAAGGAGGAGGTTTGAGATGGCCTCATGTGTTATATTAATCTATATTGAAATAAATCATTTCAGGTCATTTAAATTCCACACAGAAGTCAGAAATACCAACACAAAATCAGATCAAATTATTAAAACAAAAATATTGCACAATATTGAGTGATCATTTTGTCATATTATGCTCAACATAAAATGAGATTAATGATTTGAATAAAACACAGCAAGGACCTGGAAGATCCTGTCCTTCGTATTGGCCCTGCCAGGTGTGGCTGTCTGCATGGCAAACGTTTACATGAAGATGCAGGCCCATTCCCATGATACCCCGGAGTTTGTGCCATATCCACACCTCCGCATTCGAACCAAGGTGCCTATTTTCTTCTTTTTTTTCAAAGAATGCATGATGTGACTTCTCTCTGATCCCTGTACTGACTGAAAATGTTGATGCCTTCAACGGCCTATCAAAATTAGACATGAATTCTTTTAAAATAGCATCATCTTTCTTTCTCAGGCATGGCCATGGGGTGATGGGAATCACTCCCTCTTCCACAACTCTCATACAAACGCTCTGCCCACCGGTTACGAGGAAACTCACCACTGAGTGCGACGGAACTGTCAGTCAGATGCCAATCAACGGTCTCAAATCAGCAGCGACCGACAGACGCGATTTTAACATTTTAAACAGAAATAAACAACTGTTTTTACATGAATTCATTGCATGTCCCTGAATAAGAAAAGTATCTGGTTACTACAAATAAAAAGTATTTCAGTTAGTTTTCTTTAAAATTGATTTATCAATTTTAAAGTTTAAAACTGATTTAAAATTGATCAAATTTGTCTTTAGAGTGATCTTTTATTTGTTTCCAAAACGTTTTACAAAAAAAAAAAAAAAAAAAAAAAAAACTGTGAAAAATGCTCAAAATCCAAAAGAATCAGATTTAAATTCTTGAAAAAGACATTGTAGACAACATTAATGCAGAGCTCATTTATTGAGAACCATCCTCTGCCATCACCAACATTTGGCCATATCCACGATTCAATATCTCATATATACAGAAAAAAAGATAGCACTCCAACAAACATCATATATAATCCAGATTTCTATAAATGAATTGTACAGTGCCATATACAAAAAGAAAAAAATATAGCAAACATAAACAGCTCTTTCTCTATGACATCTTATTCACATAACATACTGTACAAAATCACATACCATATCTGGATGCACCATGATGAATGTGGTATCAGCATAAACCCTTTTTTTAAATAAAAAAAGATAAAATACAAAATCAAAAAGTCATTCTACTCCATATACAAACATGTCTAGGAAAAAAAAATGTGATGATGAAAATATTAGCAATTAGAATGTTCTAAATATTGACTAACAAAAATGTCACAAATTTGTACCTATCCCAAACGCCCCAAAAATCCAGTAATTCCCAATACCTTTCTGTATGTTGTGTGTGCATTAAAGCAGCTGCTAAATTTGTGTACACAATGTATTACATTCATTTCACTATCCACTACTGTTTCCCCTTTAGCTGAGGGCTGTTTTGATGAGGCTTAAGATGTCCTGCCTCAGCCTTTTGGCGCAGTCCACCTCTCGCGCCAAGCGCAGGAAGCAATCAGCAGACAGAGAGGGGTGAATGGGTGCAGAATGAAGCCCCTGAGGTCGCAGCAGTATAGATAGACAGGCCTGGCCCAGTCGCAGGTAAGAGTAGCGCTGTGAGAACCAGTACACTTGTGGCAACAGAGACCTCAGCCAAGTTCCCTTAGTGTCACTGTCTGAAGCATATGACGACGATGGAACCTGTTTGGAGCTCCGAGAGGGTTCCGAATCTTGTTTGAAACACTTTGACACTTCAGTTTCAGGACCCTTGCAGACTGAACCCACATCCATTCTGCCGTTCGTTGTAGTGTTATCATTTGAACAGCAACGTTTGCTCAGGCTTCTTAGGACAGAATAGAGAAGACTAACACACAGGTCCTCAGCTGCCCTTTGTAAACCAGGTACTAAAAACCTACAAGCCCCACTCATCATTTCAGCAAATGGGGTTTTCTGGAAGTCCTTCTCTTCTGCCAAGCATGATTCAAACTCGTCCTGTGGTCTACCCAGCCCACCAGAGACTAGAGAAGCCAAAACAAGACAATTTGTCTCTTGCTTTGACATGTGGTCTTTGTTTCCATTTGTCAAACGACATCCGTGAAGGTAGTGGAGAACTGGTAAGAGCATCCCACTGTTTACATCCTTGATCCGGATGGCTTCACCTTGAGCTTTCTGTGCCTCCCCAAACCCTCCCATCAAAAGGGCTCTGAAATATTCAGACCCGACGTCATTGGCTTCCTCTTCCCCAGTGACAGCCTTATGATTGGCTAGGAGAAGGGTTCCATCATCAAGAAGGAAGGATAGGTCATGAGTTGCTTTCAGGTAGGGGCATGATTGGCTCTGTTGCAGTTGGGACGTATCTAGAACTTGGGTTGTTTCCATTCTGGAATCGGTGTTACAATTCTTTCTGTCCTCCTTGGAAACTGACAGCAGATTGGAGAGGCAGCCAATCAGAAGAGATACGTACAGGAATTTAAATCTCAAAGACGACACTTGCTCAAGAGGATGCAACCAGCCGGCAAGAAACGTCCTACATTTGTCAGACTGTCCATCTTCATTATCATCATCATCACTGTTACAGCCAATCAGTTCAAGAGCTGCAGCCAGCCCACCAGTATCCAGCAACAGCTTCTTCAAAAGAACTCTGTTGCTGAAAAAGGACAAAAAGGAGGTTGTCAAACTAACAACATGGGTCAAGGATGTAAAGATACAAAATACAATTCATACAGCTCTTCCATGATGAGCAGGTGCATGATTACATGAATACATGATTTCTGTATTAAAATTTGGTATTCAAAATTTCGATTTTCTTTTTAAAATAATTCAACAATGGATTTCCTTGTTACCCAATATTCTGCAAAGAATTGTCAACCAATCAGAGAAACTAAACTAGAATGACACCACAAGAACCTTTAGTCAATGAAGCATGACTCAGTCAGTTGTCAGTACACACACACACACACACACATATATATATATATATATATATATATACACACAATAAACATAAAAATAATTATATATTGTTATTATTTTTAATTATATATTATATTATTATTTTTAATAATTATATATATATATATATATATATATATATATATTTTTTTTTTTTTCCAATGTAAAACATTATTGGTGGTCAGCTTCACGCAGCTCAAACAGCAATGCATGACTAAACAATGATTGGGACTGTCATATTACATAACATTATAAAGAGAACAATATTGTTATAAAAAATTATGAATTCTCTGGGTTAAGGTGCCTGTTTCAGTGCGTTGATCCAGGAAGAGCGCATACTTAACAGGAGTAACACATTCTGAACATGCATCTGAGGCGGCGTTGGTGACATGTTGTATGTCGTAGTATGATGTATGACGTTATATTTGATTGTTATATAAATAATTTAATAAATGATCGATCAAATCAACTCATTTTACAACCCTTCTCATTAATTTGGTGAGGAACATGTCATTTTGAGCAGTCATTCTGTAGGCTTTATGCCACTGTGGTAGACACATATTCCAGTATTTAGGCTAACGATTAATTGATCGTTAATTTAAATGACGTTCGATCATGGGAGTTCGTGTAAATTGACATCCCTAGTTCTAAACCATATTTTTAAGAGTTTTTCCTTTTCTTATTTGCTGACACACCTATTTGTCATTGACCCACATACATCCTGAAAAGCAATAAATCATACCTGTTAATCAGAGGCAGAGAAAGGACACAATACAGCTTGTCAGATTCGGAGCCTGACAGCATGATATGTGTAAGAACTCCAGAGCCAAATCCAGACTCACTCTGAACCCTCAGGTTACTGAGCAGACATAAACCTGAGGAGTCAGAAAACATATTAGCTTTGAATGAACAGCAGTCTTAAATAAATGCATCAATACGCAACATTAAAAAGTCACAAACCTAGTTGTGTGATTTTGCCTCTGACTTTTTCTGATTGTCTGTCTATTCCTCCGTTGCATTCCCCAATCTTCTCTCCTCTCACACACAGTCTTTGTCTGATCAGAGCCACGGCTCCAGTTCTAACCAAAGCCTGCAAGCAGTTTGGGTTGCAGCTGAGCCGCCCTAGCATCCGAAAGCACCGCCCGCTGGGGTCATGGTGCTGGGTGAGGTAGTACAACAGCCCGGAGAAAACGTTTGTGTTGATGAGCGCTGTGCTGGGGTCTGAGGCATGGGAGAAGCGTGACAGGAGCAGAAAAATGGGGGATTCTGGGGCCCAGGCCTCGGGGTGATATGGGTGATGGTAGACTGGGGTTTTTGACAACACAGGGGGGCTCTCCAGAGCGACCACACCATAGCAAGAGGAGGATGCAGAAGAGGTCGAAGACGCACGGAGTCTCTTTCTGGGGGGAGAGGAGATTTGGAGGAGAGATGAGGAGGTGATGGAAGGTTTTGTCACTGAAGACGGTTGCTCAGATTGAGGGGTGGAGGTACAGGAGGGCTGTAAAGAGGAAGGCGACCCTGGTATGTTTCGAGGAGATACTGGAGTGGAGGTGGAGGTGGAAGAAGACAGTCGGATGGGTTTCGAGCGGGTGGAGGGAGAGAAGTGGGGCGAACGTAAAGTCGGGGTTTGGGAGAGCTCAGGACAAGGTGTAAGTGGTGACGATGAGACGGAGGATTGAGGGCTTCCACCAAAGACATCAGATCCAGTAGGAGATTCAGACAGCTCCCCCTCAGACGAGATCAGACCCTCAGATACCAGCCAAGACCTGGAGGAAGAAAAACTCACAGATGAAACGGCACTATATACAAGTTATAGTTTAAAACTAACACTTTTTATTATGGCAAAAAAAAAAAAAGGGCAACAAGATAATAATCCACTGACCACTAACAATGTTTTTGAAGAAAAAAAATTATAGAATCTAGAATATATATAAAGTTTGGTCTGATTTTGCTCTCTCCTCAACTAAAATACTAATTTAATGATTTTGTAAACTAAAATAAGATGCCATTTTATTCAGGAAAAAATAACTAATATTATTATTAATTCAAAAATTAGTTGAAGATTCATCAACATACCAATATTGTGAAAATATGGTATGATTGGGATGTTCATGTGTAAAATTTCAATCAACATTTCATCTATGATTTTGATCATCTAGTCAATGAAATCACTGACAAAAAATGTTTTATGATTATACGCGTTGAAACATAACATTATGTTGATGCCACAAAGGAAAATGAGGTATGAAGGGCATGTTTATTTGCGCAAAACTTTCATCATTGTTGCATCCTTGATTTTGATTTTGTGCTCTCTGCTTTTGGTAAAGTTATGAAGAACTGACCTGAGGCTGAGGAAGCTGGAGGATCCTGACGTCTGGTCTTTACTCACATCTTCCTTCTTGTTCCCTTCAAGGGCTGAGAAGTCAAACGAGTCAAAACACGTGGTCATCAGTTCAGAGCATGGAAAGCTAGAGGACAGGCTGGTGTCCATCTTTTCTGCGGTCAGTTCTTCTCCTTGAGCAAGCTCCACCAACCGCTTGATCAGCAGCGGCACCAACCCAAGCTCCTGCAGCTGTTCAAGAGCCGATTCATCGTAGACAAAGTCCACACAAGCTAGAAAGGCGAAACGAGTGAGCGGATGGTTTTGATTGATGGATAAAAAGCTGATCAGCACCTCCAGTCCCCCGCTCTCCTTTATTTTAGCCCTGTTCACCGCCTCTCGGCAGCACAGGCACAGGGCCTTGAAGAACACACCCGATTTCAGAGGATCCTTCTTCACCTCCTCGGCAAACTTCTGAATGACTCCCAATGAACCGACCAGTGGCCTCAGGCAGCCTTGAGAGCACAAGTTAGCCAGAATCTTCAAAGCCAGCTCTTCCAGAGGCCGGCCACATTCTCCTGAGGCGAGGACCCCCAGCTGAGTCAACACGCCGGACCTGGAAATCTCCCTGGCGCACTCTGCACTGCAACCTCTGGTGAGCTCATGAAGGGCACGAAGAGAA